TCTCACAACAAATCTCTATGTCTTCCCACTACTATGACTACCTCCAGGCTGCTCTGTCCCACCCCTGAACTGTGGAGTAACATCTCAAGTAGAGGTAAGAAAAATAGAGAGCCTTAAAGAGAGAACTGCCTCCTGAACTCTACGATTTTCTCCTTCCTGCTGGAGGAAATAAAACAAGCCTATGGCACAGATTTGGCCGTATAATTCTGAGTCAGTGCCAGTCTCATTGGTCAGGAAGCCATTTAACTTCACTTTGCTTCAAGCTTTCCATCTATAAAAGCAAAGCATATGACTTGCTGCCTACTCATTAACCAGGACTGTGCTGGGAAGACTTATGAACAAAGGTTTAGAGAGCTCCTGCAAGGAGTGGAGAAATCTCATCACCATGTACATTCAAGGAAAAAATGGAAACAGCCCTTGTCTGTGAAAATGAAAGAAGTTGCCTCTAAATCTGATGACAGTTGTGTGCAATGAGGTCAAGCATAGGAAAGATCCAATGAATGCCAATGGAAGTTACCAGAAGCAATGGAGATGAGAAGGGTGAAGCAGGCACCAGGATCCAGCAGCTGACCAGCTCTCTGGGGAAGTTGGGCACGCTGTCAAGAACAGTCAGAAATCCAGAAGACTTTTCCCACATAATCCCTGCATTGGACACGTTCTATATCTTGATCAGTTTGTTAGTGACATAGGTTATGGGCAGGTTTCAATATTCATCAAACTGTACCAAATGTGCGGTGCATGTAAATTTGATCTTAATTTAAAATCAGTCTATCTAATCCCACTCAAACAAATGAGTTCCCTACTGTGCCATGAACAGCTATACTCCAATTACCTATTTTTATAATAGTCTCAGATTTATATTTAACAAGATTAATGTATGCAAATATGGATATTCATGTATATCGTAATCATCAACACAGATTAAAATTGGCTACCTGCCATTCTCTAGGAACTTATCTCTGCACATATATAATGCAGTGATAACCTTTCAAATGTCAAATGCCTTTGGAATTATAAAAAATAAAATTAAACTGTGAACAGCAGACTTTTAGTGTTAAATATGTTTTACAATGTTCTAATTCATTAAAAATTCATAAAGCATGTGTGGAAATGTAACAACTCTATCAGAATATTGGTTTGCCCAGATGATCCTATACTCTTAGTAAGCCTAGTAATAGAGTTTCCAATATATATTATTTAGACTTGAAGAAAAAACAGGCAACAGCAGTCATAACTGAATTCATGAATTGATTGTTGTTTGGTTTGCTGTTCTAAAAAAGAAGATCAATCTTTCCTAGGTCACACTTACTGAGAACAATCAGTGTTTGAAAGCTGGGTCCTTACTAAAGAAATATCACACTTTTATAAATCATAATACTTGTGAAATTTGAGTTTGTGTATTTGTTTTCTAATAGGAACTTCAAATAAAGAAATAGCTTACTCAAGAATAAGTAAGAAATAAAACCCAGTAACTTAATTTGCCACCATTTTAATATTCTTCTCAATACCAGCACAGGTTTGATCTTTAAAGGCAGTGAGGTACAGTCATCACACCATCTTCCTCCTCATCATTATAGTTTGGGTTATCTAAGACTCTGAGATTTGCAGGCAGAAAATGTATCCAGGAGTGCTCCAGGGAGGAGTAGCTGTGAGAGAGCCCAGGTAATGGGCGTGGAAGATGCTGAACTGAGCCACATGCAGTGGCAACAAAGACCTCAGCTGATCTCAGGAGGAACTCTGACGATGGAAGGAGACTCTTCTGATGACCCTTTTGGGGAAGAGGGGATCAGACTTTGTATTCCCACATCAACCTGTCATTGAATGTGGGCTGCCACAGAAAAGGGTCATGACCTTGAGCAAGAAAGCTTTCTTTGGCCGAGGGCGCCTTCGGCAGCCAGGAGAATGAATGCTGCAGACGTGAAGGGGAATCTGCTGTGGCACCACGGCATCCATTACAATCTTCATGATAGAAGTCTCCTAAATGCCTGGCCATGTGCTAGGTTCTTTATGCACACTCTCTAATTCCCACTAAAGTCCTTTTAGGGGGAGAAATTTTACCACTTTTTAGAGCTGGGGAAAGCGAGGCTTAGGAAAGCTGAGTAATGTGCTCCAAGATCAATCACCCAGCTACTGCTTAGCAGTACAGTGTTCAGACACAAGCTACATGTATCTAAAGCCCTTGCTCTTGATCAAAACTGTGGATGTAGAGTCAGGAGGCTGGGTTCCCCTCCCACCAACCAGTTGTGCAGTCTTCACTAAGACACAGCTCTGAATCTCTTCTTAATCTTCAGATGGTAGACATTTTCCTGAAGCATTCAGAGACACTCTCAGAAACTGAGGAGGAAGGGGCAGCTGAGCCAGAGATAGAGGAATAACTTTTTTATGGATCTGCTTTCCAGGGCTGGTGGTATCCAACCATCAATTTGGAGGTGTCTATAAGGGGGGGTGAACTTGAGTGCCATTAAGGCCAGTGTCAATATCAAAGGAGCTTTGGGGCAGTAGTGGTGTCTGTAGTCAGATGAGTAACTATGGGTGTAGCTCTGGGTTGTCCATCCACCTGGAAGCAAGACCCCAGGGACAGGGAATTCATCAAGATGGGGAAGATGTTAAGGGTCCCAGCTGACAGGTGCCCATAGGGAGGTCTCCAGTCTGGCTGGACTAATAAAACTTTATTCTAGTTTACAAGGCCAAGGTGATCTTTACCTGCAGATATACTTCTCTCACCGCATCTATTACTACTCCTACTTCCTGCTCTCCCCTCAACTATATTAAGGTACTTTCCTTTCTACAAAATATACTATGTGCTTTCTTATCTTCAGGTTTCTGCCTGGAAGACCATTCTCCCTGACTTCTTTTCTTTACCTGGCTAACTCCCACTGATCCCTCAGAACTCTTCCAGGAAGCCTTCCTTGACTTCCCAAGATGGGGTTAGGTGACCCTCCTATGGTAAGCCAGAGCACCATGTGTTAGGAAGATTGTATAATGACTGACACATAATAAGCACTCTAAAACTAGTGGCTGTTAATTACTATTATTCTTCCTTGATAGCGCCTATCCCTCTGAATTGGAGACTATGCATGCCTTGCCTGGGCCTAGGCCTTTTCTCTGTCTCTAGCATCTGCCATATTGCATAGAATACAATAAATGCTTGATAAACATTAGTTAAAACAGTAAAAACCTCATTCACACAACTGGGTAAATATGGACAGGACAGTATGCAAGAAGGAGCAGAGAAGGGGGTGGGGAAGGCTCTCTTGCAACCTCCCAGAGACTAACCCACAAAATCAATGCCAGTCTCTCCCTGGAGGTGGGCTTGAGCTTTTATATGTGTTGGCTGTTGTGCTCAAGATTGTGTAAGCATTTGGGAGAAATCAGGCCTCCTAGGTGAAGACCTTCAGAGCCTGAAAATGAGTGGGCAGACAGAGATGGTCATGTGGGCAGGACCACTGTTCACAATGGCATTTTCTCTCTCATTTTTTAAAAGAGATAGTGTAGCTTATGGAATAAACATGTGATTTGGGGTACCTGCTTTCAAATCCCTATTTATTATTATTATTATTATTATTATTCATAGAGTTATGGAATAACTTTAAGAGAAGAGCTTTTGGGACAAAGATTTGAATGCCAGCCGGATCTGAATCTTAGCTCCTTTACTTCCTTGCTATGTGACATTAGACATATATTGTACCCTCTCTGTGTCTTAGTATCCTCATCTGTAAGATGGACATAATTCTTCCTTCACAGATTATTATGAGGATGGAATTAATCATTGTAAAGTTCTTAGAACAAGGCTTGGCATATACTAAGTACTGTATAAGGGTTTACCTCATCATCCTAAGCCTCAACTTTCTCAGTGGAAAAATGGATATTATGTAGAACACTTAACACAGTGCCTGACATATGGCATGCTCTCTGTCATTATTATTACTATTACTATTACTATAAGTGGAAGATACTTTCTTAGGGTGAACTTCACTGAATAATAGAAACTTCTTTCCTGTGGATGTTTTTGGTCTCTACTGATGATTTTGGGAGAAAAGAAGCTATTTCTCTGTGGTTCTGAGCCAGTCACTTCCCTTGTGTCTTGCCTTTCTCACTAACCCTCTGAAAACCTCCTTCATGGGCCCAAACACTGCCATGCATACCTGTTTCTCTGCTACACAAGTAAAGGAGGAGTGTAGTGGTTTTCTTGGGCTGCCATAACAAAGTACCATAAACTCGATGGTTTAACACAACAGAAACTCATACTCTCACAGCTCTGGAGTCAGAAGCCTAAAATCAAAGCATCAGGAGGGCCATACTCCCTCTGAAGGCTGTATGGGAGAATCTTTCCTTGCCTCTTCCAGTTTCTTGTGGGTCCAAGCATTCCTGGGAGCCCAGTCTCTGTTTTTGTCTTCACATGACCTTCACATTTTGACTTCACATGACCTTCTTCCTATGTGTGTCCCTGTCCTAAATTTTCTTCTGCCTCTCTCTGTTAAGGACATCTGTCATCAGATTTAGGGCTCACCTTAAATCTTGAGATCCTTAATTATATCTGCAAAGACACATTTTTTCCAAATAGGTTTGCATTCACAGGTACCAGGGGTTAGTACATAGGTATACCATTTGGGGCCATCTATTCAACACAGTATGTGGGGTAGCAGGGCCCTAATTAGGTCTAAATAGAATCTAACCCTCTTTCTTTTTCCTGTACACTTGTTCCAGTCTCATCCACACCTCTTTAATGGAATGGTCACAGCCCAGGGGGAGAAGCAATATATCCCAACCAAACAATCTCCTCCTTCCTGGGCTCTACTCTGGCCCATGTCTGAACCTGTTTCCTGCCTTGGGATTCACTGTGAGGAGCACATGGACACTTGAGGCTTATGTGCCTATGAAGGCTCATTCTGCTTGGCCCACCCAGTTGCCTCGCAGACAGGCAGGAGAATCAGATGTCACTCTGGAACCTTGCATTGCCAGCTTGCCCCACCTGGCCCTTCACCAGGGTCATCTCAGTCACACATCAGGTTTCATAGATGAGGCCAAAACAGGAGACCCTGGTGAGCTGGAACGAGTAGAGGCAGTGGATCTGGGTCAGATCAGGATTCTATTTGCACTTGGATCAGGCAAATAGACTCAGAGAAAGAATCTGGGTCAAAAGCTTGGCAGACTGGCAGGAAACACAAGACCTGATATACAAATTAAAATGGAGACTAGCTTTTCATCCACACAGGCCAGTTCTTAGTCTCCAAAGTCCTATTGAGGTGAGTCTGTGACATGTGGTATATCCTATATTATAAGGATATACATATATATACATTTAGCATATATTCATTGAGCATTTGCCATATGCCAGGATCTAGGGATACAGAGAGAGAGAAGACAATCCTTGTGTCTTCAAGTTCATTAAAGAATATCAGGGGACACATAAAGAACCACTTTTAATAAAATGTGAGAACTCTATGTATACAATGTTATAAGAGGTCCAAGGAGAGAGTAACTCATTCTGCTTTGAGTTAGGGAATGGGCCATGATGGAAGCACAGATGAGGTAACATTTGAGTGGGATCTTAAAGAATTCTATGAAGAAATGTGGGAAGAGCAGAAGGTATACTGTCCATCTGATCAAGTGGGTGCCTCTTCTTCCCCTCCCTCTATTTGTTTATCTCATCCAAAAACTGGCTCTTGCATGAAAAGAACTACCTTCATGTGAGAACTTTTCTTCCCCCAGATTTTGTTTACTTATATATTTTATAGAGAGAGAGGTGGGGGAGGGGCAGAGGGAGACCAAGAGAGAATCTCAAGTAAACTCTGTGCTGAGCATGGAGTCAGACACGGGGCTCAATCCCACGATTCTGAAATCATGACCTGAGCTAAAATCAGAAGTTGGGACGCTTAATCTACTGGGCCACTGTCTATCTTTTTTTATTAGAAATCTAGAGACAGGTATGAAACCTGTCCTGTAGGTAGGCTATAGCCCAGGGAAACAACCAACCAGAAAGCCTCCATTGTGAGGAAGTGGTTTGGTTGGTACTGGCTGAAACAGTAGAGGCCCCTTAGCACTCCCACTGCTATCCAGACAGTTGTAAACTTCAGGACCTCAGCACGTTTGTTTGTTTGTTTGTTTGTTTTTAAAAACTTTATTTACTTACTTGAGAGAAGGAGAGAGAGAATGAGACCAGGGGTGGGAAGAGGCAAAAGGGGAAGCAGACCCCTCGCTGAGCAGGGAGCCCCCATGATTCAACCAACTGAGGCACACAGGCACCCCTGGACCTCAGTGTGTTTTAATGATGTATCACTATTGAGATGATTTTGTGACCTCTTCGGATATTTTTTCCTTCTTAAAAATGTTTTCCAGGGGTGCCTGGGTGGCTCAGTGGGTTAAAGCCTCTGCCTTCGGCTCAGGTCTTGATCCTGGGGTCCTGGGATCGAGCCCCGCATCAGGATCTCCGCTCAGCGGGGAGTCTACTTCCCCTCTCTCTGCCTGCCTTTCTGCCTACTTGTGATCTCTCTTTCTGTCAAATAAGTAAATAAAATCTTTTAAAAAATGTTTTACATTTATTTTATGTATACTGTTGTTGTCTCTAAAATCCCAAGAAGGCATTTATGATCTCAGTCTCTGGTAAAAGGTAAAAAGGTAAGAAGGCTCATTACTTGTTACTCCCTATTCCATATTTTTCCAGTATTTAATGAGTATCTCTGAACTTTTCTGGACATGCCTTGCAACCAACATCTTTGTAATTAGTAGTAATATTTTTAAATTAGTAAATGGGGCACCTTCATGGAGTATTAATTTTATCTAATTATTATTATGTCACGCTTAAGTAACCTAACTGGATAAGTAGGTTCAAATGTATTGCAATACTAAAACAAACATGGATATATTATTCAGCATCTTTTATATATATATATATATATATATATACACACATATAATATACATATAAATATCTATATCATTGAATAATATATATATTTTATATACGTATATATATCATATATATCAGCATTGTATATAAAATTCAAATAAATTCTAGAATCAAAACAATAGACTTCCAAAAACATGAAAGAAGCCAGACATAAAAGGCTACATATCACATGAATCCATTTATATGACAAAAATTCTGAAAAAGGCAAAATTATAGGGATAAAATTCGTATCAGTGGTTTCCAGGGGTTGGGAGAAAAGGAAAGAAATTAAAGAGGAGCACGAGGAAATTTGGGATGACGGAAATGTTCTATATCTTGATTGTGATGGTGGTTACATGATTACATATACTTGTAAAAATTTAACCAACTATACAATTTAAAAGGGTAATTTTATTTTATGTAAATTATATCTCAATAAACCTGACTTTAAAAAGAGCCAGGTTACTTTGGGCTCCCTTTCGAGGCTAATTCACTACTGCATCCATTCTTTCTTATCTGCTTTTAGAAATACCTGAAGAGTTTGAGAATTATACAATTAGTGTCTCTTCTCTAAAAGAGGGGGTCTGAGTGTGATTTGAGTGAGATGGACCACAAGATCTTGAACAATTTAAACTTGAGCAAGCATTTCAGGAGTAGGAGACAGACAGATAGATAGATAGTTGGGGGCCTTTAAATACATATAAAATACCAACATGCCAACACACAATAATTTAGAGATACATAATTATTTATCCAAGCTTTCCTAAACTTCTTTATTTGTGAAATATTCACTTGGCGCTAAATACCAGTAAGGCATTTGTATGTTTCTTTTGGTACAAAATACTACAGACTGGGTGGTTAAAACAACAGAAATTTATTTTCTCACAGTTCTAGAGGCTAAAAGTCCAAGATGGAGGTATCAGCAGAGTTGGTTTCCTTGAGGCCTCTCTCTCCTCTTGGCATGTAGATGGCTGTTTCCTTCTTGTGTCTTCTAATTGTCTTCCTTCTGTGTGTGTCTGTCTTCACCTCCTCTTTTATAAGGGCACCAGTCACGTTACATTGAGGCCCATCTAAATGACATCATTTTGACATTATTACCTCTTTAAAGACCCTCTACCCAAATCCAGTCACCTTCTTGGGGTTAGAACTTCAACATATGAATTTAGGAGATACAATTCAGCCCGTAGTAGCACATTTCCCCCTCTTTCCCCACTTCACCATGTGCTCTTCTACTATTCTAGCCATCCCTCCAGCCATGCTATTTCTCCCAAGATGTAATTTCCTCTCTTTTTTTGTGTGTGTGTGGTTACTGCCATGCTCTGGTCAAACATTTGCAAGATGGAAGGCAACTCAAACGCCAAAATACACTAAGGATGCCATGACACAGTCTGCAGGCCCAGACGGAAACGTGTATCATTTAGTATTTTCGTTTGTTTGGGTATAGTCCTACAAATCTTTCCTCAAAAGGGGATGTGGAGCTGCTTTGAACTCTCGAACTATGTCGGGAATGTATGGGACATGGCAAATAGGAGCTGAAGTACTTCCCACCGTGCACATAACCACGGAGTTGCTGCTGCCACACAGGCCAACGCTGAGAAATGGGTGAAGATCACATCAGCTGCAAGGAAACAACAGTCCTGGGTTTAACCCCAGCTTCTACACTAGCATGGATCGTTAATGGTCACACGAAGATCAGATCCGGAAGTAAATGATCTCTAAGCAGTGTAATCATTTCAAGCTGAAACTCTCTCTCTTCCCACTGAAAGGCAGGGAGACTTCCTGAATTTCTGGCAAAGGAGCATCTGTTGGCTTGGCTTCCTCTACCACAAGACCGTATTCCCATGCAGCTCTTGGAGAATTGGAAGCCAGTCTCTCCTTCGGTATTTGCTCGGTCTCACAGAGCAGCAAATGGAAATATAAATAACTGAGACTGTATGTATCAAAGCAGTCGATGCAATCTCTATACTTTTAAGTTCAACTTTTGAGCAAAATCCTGAGAATGCTTTAAAATTACTATTAGGTCTAAGAAGCAAGGAGACAGGTAAGGTTTCATGGGAGCTATGCATGGGGATCAGTGCATGATATAAATCAGGATGGTCAAAGCCAAGGGGACCCGGATAGGAAGGAGGGCAGAGACATTGTGATTGCAACACCAACGCCATAAGGAAGGGAACCGAGTAATAACCACGGTACTGGCTACCCTTTACTGAGCATGACCTATACTTGACTCTCTACATATCACAGGCACAATCCACGAGCAGCATAGCCATTTGCTTCTTATGACCCCTAGTTCTCAGATGAGGGCCAGGAAGCCGTGTAATATGTAGTACTCCACAGAGGTAGAACCCAGGTACCAAGGTTTCTTGTTTTATGCTTATGGTTCTCTGCTGTCTATGATAATGGCCATGTCCTGATTTGTAGTTTATTGTAGTGAACAAATGGAATAAACTTCAAGGAAACCAAACAGTTTATCCCTAAGTGTGGTTTTAATTCTGCTCAAGTGACTTTTTTCAATTGTCTGCAAAGTTCAAGGAAGCCATATCACATCAGATTGTGCTAAGAGGCTGATGCTTCAAACAAGGGAATGCTGTTGATTTCTGTGTTCCAAGGTTCTGATGTCCAGAGTGCACCAACTTCAGTAAAGAGTGTAGCCCCTTATTGAAAAGGGTGGGATTCACTGCCCAACCCCCGGCTCTGTTCAGTTCACAGCAGTTCAGAAGGTGTGGTCTCTCCAGGGTTGAGATTACTGTTTAATGGGAGACAGGAAAGACTGGGTTTCTGAACAAGAAGTGCACAGATACATTTGATCCCTATTTTCCCAGAGTGAGTAGGGGATTGCTATAATGGTTGGTACAAATTAGAAAGGTTGGTGGGGATAATTGGGAAGAGGTCAGGAAGGATATAAATTGTGGAAGGAAGTGAATAAAAGAATAGAAGGAGGACTGAGTGATAGCACTTGTGGCTCAGACACTTAACAGAGCATCTCAACATGGATGGGTAGAGTAACAAAGCTTTTGATCCCTGGGTTGGACTCTGAAACTTCAAGCTAGACCTGCCCTAACTCTGGTGCCTTGGCTTGTGAATTCCCACAGGCTGTGACTAAGGTCTTTTCTTGGGTGGGGAAGGGGTAGGGCAAAATACTAGATCAGAAGGAAAAAGAAAGATGACTGGCTACCATTATACCTGCAACTCTGAAGGAGTCCCTGCCTTCCACTCTGACTCATGCTGTTGCTATGATAGTGTCTTTAGTTCACCCAACCTAGAAACCCAAGAATCAACTTTGACACCACCAATTCCCTTAGGCATTATATCTGGTCTCCAACACCAAAGGGTTTTATCCCAGGTTATTGTTCGAACATTTCCCTGTTCCATCCCACTGCCAGTGTTTTGGGCCAGGCCCTCAATCCTCCCTCCCTTTGGATCTAGTGCCTCCAAACTGGTATTCCTGCCTCCAGTCTACCCATTATAGTCCATTCTTTGAAACTATGTGATCTTTCATAAGATCATATAAACCACCTATGTGATCTTTCTGAGAAAGAAACCAATCCTGTCAGTCTCCTACTTCCTGTTGCCCAGAGTAGTGGTTCTCAAGTAGATGCTACCCTGAACTCCTAAAAACTCCAGGAGCAAAGTTGCACATTTATTCTATGTGACAGTCAGTTAATGATGAACAAATATTCTGCATGCATCCTCATGTGTTCTACCATTTTCTGAGGTTAGGTTGGTTCATGTGAGTAGTTTTCTCCAATGGATTGTGAGCAAAAGTGATAGTATGACTTCCAGGTTGAGATGGGGTGCCTTCTCCATGCTCTGTCTTCCCCTGATCCAGGAACCTTGGAAGAAGTGTTCTCAGTGGCTTTGCTGCAACATGGAGGGGGTGCTTCCCAATCCAGAGTGGACCTCACTTGAGCAAGAATAAACCTTTATGTGTTAAACTACTGAGATTGTCGGGGGTGGAGGGGCTGTCTGATACAGCAGCTAAAGTTCTATATCTGAACAATATACCCCATGATATGGGTCACTGAATAGGAGAGCTCCTTTTCTCCTGAATGATGTTTTATCAACTTGGTTTGGTAACATGCTGTGTCTCATATTTATCCATGGTTCTGAATGGAAGTCATGGAAGTTGGATGACCTTTTTAAAAAGTGGGAAACAATTAGTTCCTTCTTAATAATTATGGTATTTGGGAAGATTAAAAAGAAATCTATGAAAACATGATTGATTGGGAAGACAGTATAAAAATGGAGTCCTTAAGAGTGAATATTGGGGACCGTGGCCCGCAGGATAAAGTCCAAAATTGAAGTTCATGTCAAAGCAGAGGAGACACAAAAACCTTCCTGGCTTTGTTAGTATTGGCTTCTTGTCACCCTGTGTTTCACTCAACTTGGACCTCAACTCCCACATCACCCATTGCCTTTTATCTGACCTTGCCCTTGTAAACACTAATCCTTCATTTTCAGCCTGTCCAACTCATCCTCACCCTTCAAGACCCAGCTTAAATGTTATCTTCTCCACTGAGTTCCCACATCCCTCAGCCATGACCTCAGTCATAGCACCTCTTTCCTAATATTGGAGTTTTCTCTATCAGGTCTGACTCTTCACTAAAATGTGGACTTCTAAACAGGTAGTGATGTCGTTATTCATTTTTTAATCTCTGTGTCCCTAGAACCCTAGAATAATGCCTGGCATACAGATGTTCACAAGATGCTTTGGGGTACCCTTCTAGGCACCCCAAATGGGTTAGCCTCACATGGCAATGGATAAACTATTTATGTTAAGTGACCCCCCTGCTTTTCCTCAAGCATGCCTAGCCTATTTTCCCCTCAGAACCTTCACATTTGCACCCACCTCTGCCTGGAATCTCTTTTTCCAGACCTCACAGAGCTCTCTCCCTCTCATCAGTCAGGATAGACACCTCTTTCTTAGAAAGAGGCTTTCCCTGGTTGCTTTCCCCCTCTCTCTCCTTACTCTGCTTTATTTCTTTTTTTTTTTTTTAGATTTATTTATTTATTTATTTGACAGACAGAGATCACAGTAGGCAGAAAGGCAGGCAGAGAGAGAGAGGGAAGCAGGCTCCCTGCTGAGCAGAAAGCCTGATGCGGGACTCGATCCCAGGACCCCGAGATCATGACAAGCTGAAGGCAGCGGCTCAACCCACTGAGCCACCCAGGCGCCCTGCTTTATGTCTTCATAGCACTCATCATCTGGCACATTATATTATATTATATTATATTATATTATATTATATTATATTTACTGTTTGTTTGCTGTTTGTCGTCCCCAGTAGACTATAAGCTCTATGAGGCCACGAACTTTGTCTTGTTTACTGTACAAGACTAGTTCCCGACACGCCATGGGTACTCAAAACTCTCTCTGAATAATAAATAATAAAATAACCATACTTTCAGAAATCAAATCTGAAACCCAGTCCTAACTTCTCAACTGTTCTCTTCCTGAAGCCGTAACACTTGAGAGTGGGAAAGGAATCTAGAAGGTTCGCTTTGACCCAATATTTCCATTCACCTGAAGTGGAAAGAGAGGTCTCAGCGTAGTGACTCATGGAGCAGAAACTAGATCCTTGTCTAACTTTTGGTTTTGACTTCTAGCACAGTGCCTTGCATGTGGTGAATATTCAGTTAATCAATGAGAGTTAAATTGAACTAAAAATAGGAAAATCTGAACAGAGTTTGCTATCTATATACACCTTTCTGCCTCAAAATAAATTGAGCTCAAAGGACATGGATCTCTAGAGAATGTTGCTTGAGAAGGCAGAATTGTAGCATTTGGGGATCCAGGCTCTCACCCAGAACACATGGACCTTGTTGGGTAGAATTAAACCAGTCAACCACAGAACTATCTGACCTTACAGACTGGAAATTCCCCAAATCTGCAGACATGGATGGCGTTTTGCTGGTCACCAAAAGTTATTAAGGGTCGATAGAGAAAAGAATCTCTCTTTGACCTAAACACAACCAGGTGGCTGCCAGAAACAAGAAATACAGTGTCAGTTCAGTTTGGTAGTAGTGATGGAGATGCCCAGAAACTAAAGCTCACTCTCTCTTCAACTAC